AAAAAAAAAAAAACAACTACTTTATCGCTCGTTATAAAACCTAATTAGACACGATGGAAGGAGCGATGATTTGCCAATTGTTCCCACAGCGAAGCAAATGAAATTCTCGCTAAACGCCTTACGAAACCGTGACAAACACTCGGGAAACTTACACGCGAGACTGTACATAGGCAAAAAGGCTTCAATCCACGGTAAACGTGTCCAACTTACGCTAGACGCGTGCAGCAAAAAACCGGCTGTATTTGCAAGCAGCGGAGATTAAAGCTGCTCGATGACTACACACGGAAAGATGTTTACGATTCGCAGTTTACGATGCAACACGAGAAGAAACCTTCGCTCTCTCAGGCAGAGTAGCTATATAACACTTGGTGTAGCTGCGGCGACAAAGTTGAAAGGAAACCGGCTAGAGAGAGAAAGAGGGAGGTTGGCGATCAATCGTACCGAGAAAGGGGATCCAATCGTAAAACAATTATACAATTACCGCGGGTTCGTAATTAATTGCTGGCCGTTTCAACGTTTACCCCGGCTGGTGGTTGTGCCGGTTGTGCTGGAGTCGGTGCACCAGCAACTGCACTCCGCTCGTTCGTCCGCGCGGCATTAATTCATTAACGTTGCACCGTCAAACGTATTTGCCCGTAAAATTGAACGGCCGGCGTATTCGCAATTATTTGCTTAACCAATTTCCGAACGGCGATTCGTCGACGCGCGGTTCCACGCGATTTTACGACCTTTTTCCCTAGGACCTGTACCCCCCGGTTTTCCAAGAATATAAATAATACCCCTCCGCGAAACTACGTTCATATTTTTCAATGTATAGATAGGTGGATAGATTGTTAATTAGCTTGCACGTGCTAATGATAAATAGAAGTGTTGCTTTATACGAAATGATACGTAGGAAGCGAGAAAAAATGTTAACGGACCCAACGGGAATCGAACCCGAGACCTCGAGGTTGTCAGGCCGAGCCCTTGCGCGCTACGCCAACACCTCCCTCTGTATTGTCTCTGCTCGGTTACCTATTTGAGTACGGAGGACCTGATACTGGAGTAGTTTGAAATACGTTACGACGAGAAGCCAGGAAGGAAGACGAAGTGATATTTCAGCATCGGGGAGGACGATTAAAAAGAGGAAAGGGTTGTCGTCGGAGGAAGGAGAAGGAAGATTTGGAAGTTAACGAAGGGAGAAGGGCGAGAGCGCACGGGTGTAACGGTGCCGATATTCTGGCATCGACAACCGCCACCACAGGCCGCAACACGACGGTGCAGTTGCAGTTAATTTGCTCACTCCAAGTGTGTTTGATTCCCCTAATTAATTGATCGGTAGGGTCACCGTGGCGCGTATACGGATGGCAGTAATCAAGTGCGTGCCCCTGGTACCAGGGCTACGTATCTACGCGACCGTATGCTTTGCCCTAGAGTGGCCTGTCCGCAGCTTTCCTGGCGTCTTTGGCGCCTTTCGCGTGTACACCGTGGTCCGTGAGTAACGCAAAAATGAGCAATCTACGGCTGTTACTTCGCATCGGTGAAAATGACAGATATGAATGCTCTGCGGTGTTTATGGACGAGAGTGTACATTGCGATACCGAACGAAAATTCGTTCGACATTTTTTAACACGTTCCGTAACGCGGGAAAAACGAGATTTGAGAGAATTTTAGAAAAATGTAGCGACTGGAAATTTTTAAAATCTTACACAGGGAGAAAGAGGGTTAACTGTAGAAAAATCTCACTTGCATCTACTTTCGTGCATACTCTGAGCCTCGACCCTTTCGTGTCTTACACGTGCACAACTAATCCTCGAAAAAGTGCAATTTTCTCTAATTATTCTCTTTCACTTTTCACATTGCGCTATCCTTCCTATCCTATCGCAGACATCTAAGTCACGATAATATAAATAAATGGCAAACTCATTTCTATGCGCCTGGGAAACAATAGAAAAAAATAAAATTGCGAACGTTGAGTTAAATCGAAGAATATTCTTTTCCTCCTAACGCTACTTCCACTTCCAAAACCTATCGTGTACCGCGCAGCAAGGAACGTGTTAAAGATTCCTCTACCATGTACCATTTAAATCACTCGCGGTCCATCTCCGTGTCCCCTATTATATACGAACATCCTCAACGCTAAGCGTCCAGCAACATCGTGCAACAACGTGGTCGTGAAATCCACGGTATCTCCATAAAACGTCACGTCTGTACTCGGCGAAAAGACGGCGGTTCGCGGGGACGTAAAATACGTCCGAGGACAGTGCCGCGAACGGTGAAAAAGTCGTTTGCACGAACGTAAACCGCGTGGAATCGTAAGCGTGTGACAGTGTAGAGAAACGGTTGGAAGAAACGTTTGTTGGTTACCACTTACCCAAATGCCCGTTCTCGTAGTAATCCCCGTTGTCCATCCTGTGCTTCTTGAGCGAGTGCTGGGGGTGGTGACCGGTCGCCGCGGCCAGATGGCTGGCTGCGAGACTGAGACCGACGGAAGCTCTCTTCGGTGGTCTTCCTGGCCTGGAGCTGTACAGTGGTAGAGAGTTACTGTGGCTAGAGACACCTGTCATCGAGGTAACGTCATACCCCGATCGTCGCGCTTACGACTTGTCGTCGTAAGTGTCGTTACGAGAAAAGACCTCCTCCGTGTAATTAATATTCTCCTCGATCGCAGAAGAAACTCGTTAATTCTCAATGAACATTTCAAAGTGCAACGACGATAAATAAGATTTGAACGAGAAGGCTTGGTAATTTAGAAAAGTATTTCTGGAAAATTCGAGACACAATTTTCGAGAATTTCGGGCTCGATTGGACAGTCTTTTCTCGCGAATCGATGACTTTTCGGCCGGTCCCCCGACTCCAACCTCGAGACCCATCGGTCTCGAAAGAAGAGAGGAAACGCTCGAATGGAGCTCGATGACTAAACTTCTGGCTGCTACAAGCTCCGTGGATTAGTCTCTCTCTATCCTACAACAACGTACGCGTACGTTTCGAGAACTGGTTCCCCGGTACAACACGAACGAATCAAATTCTCACCTTGCCGCGATCCAGAACGAACTCGTTGCGAGTTACCAGAGATAATACCACCGGTGCTAATACGTAGTGACACTGTCGCGATAAACCTAATAGGGGGGAAGATAAAGGTGGGGCGACGAAACGCGCCAAATAGCCTACATTTGCATAACTTATCGTGTCGCGAAAGAAACTCCATTATTCCAACTAAGTACACTTTTCAATTTTCACCTCCTCTTACGGTAATCCGGAGAAAGTCAACGACTGTCGAAAGAAAGACGAAAAAGGTAGCGATAATTTTCAAAAATAGAGGTACAATTGGACGATCATCGAGGTGGAAGTTGTGTCACAGATTGCGTGAAAAAGAAGAAAAAAAGCGTCGGAGGATCGGAAACGAAGCGATTCACAGGACGGTGGAGAGTAGATGCTGCGGCTGGCAGGAACGCTCATTTTTCATAGGCGGCAGGCGCCGGAGAGGCGCTTCGATATACACGCCCGGGCACGGACACACGCCGCGCCAACTGTATACACGCGTGCACGCGTGATTCGAGCTTTTGCTCTCGCCGTGGAAATGCCTGAGAGAGAGGGACTCGTTGTTACCGCGGCAGGATCCTTTCCTTCGCTCCCGATATAGCGCCTGTATTCGTCCAGCGATTCTCAAACTCTCTCTCGATCGAAAACATTCCTCCTGCGGGATCTGTTTGAAACGTATAGTCGGGGCCACGATATAGCGAGGTCGTAAAATCGGTCAGACGTCAAAGTAAACATGTTTTAGCTGCCGGGACCCGAAAATTGACAGAGATACGAGCAGATAAGTACTTGAAACCATTGTCAGGACCGTACGAAGAATTCTTGTATCCAGCGAAAGTCAACTGATTCGAATATATTTACTGAAAACTGCACGCAGCTAGGACAAATTAGGGTTTCTCCCTCTGGGGGAAGCCGCTTTTGGAAGTACGGTTACAGGTAAAGGTCTTATTGATGTCTTTAGCATCTTAGTTTATCTACTCGTGTTATATACAGATAGAAAGTGCAAAAAGATTGTGTAGCTTAATATTAACATATTTTCCATTTGTAAATGAAATACCATTTTCTACTTGAAGCACCAAATCATACGCTACCATTCGTTTATTGTTGGAACCCTCAAACAGACTGCAACATCAATCGGTGCCGATTCTTAGAGAGTTTAATTTACAACCTCGCTATATCGTGGCCCCAACTATACCTATCGATGTAACGATATTCCCTCGTCTTTTGTAGTCGAAATAACGTTAAGTTGCAGATTCTACTTGAAATTTAACCAGCAACATCCGCTTCGATTTTCAGTAGCCTGTGTGTAGAGGCAGCTATCTGGCATAGCGCGAATGAGAGCGACGTCGACGGGGGCCAGGCGTCGCGACGAAAATGGAGCAAAGAGAAGGAATGAAAATTGAAGCGCGATAGAGGTGGAAAGGGAGGAGTAGGAGGAGATATTCTCTCTTCGATATTTATATCCGGCGGCAGAGTAGGCGCCAGGAGGAACGCGGCTGGTTGAGCATCTCTGCTCGGTAAGCGAGCAATCTCATAGTAGTCAGGACAGATTTGTAAATCTAATTTTTCATCCCGTCTTTCTGCCTGGCCCTCTCGCTTTGCCTCTTCGCGTTGCCTAGAGTCTTCCTCATCCTCCGTTTAACTTCTGCCTCCCTTCTCTCTCTCTCTCTCTGTTTCTCTCGTGCACAGGGTGCTTTTGCACCTCTCTTCATTCTCCTGATCTTTCTCTTCCACGTTCCTCTGGCGCCCGTTTCTCTCGTGTACAGGGTGCTTTTGCACCTCTCTTCATTCTCCTGATCTTTCTCTTCCACGTTCCTCTGGCGCCCTCCTCCCACTATCTCTCTCTCTCTCGTTTCGTTTCGTTCCTCTCGCTCGCTCCCTTTCGCCTGATTCCCAAACGATCACCGCACTCCATCTCTGTCCCACCGTCTTCTCTCACGCACGAGATCTCCAGACGATTCTCAGACGGCCGGTTTATACGGCGTTGATCTCTTAAACCGCTTAGCTTCGGGTTACACCGAAAACAAGAACGCACTCACCAACGCTTAGACCCGCATAATACGCACTTGTTTGCGTACCGGTCTCTGCCGGCGAAATAAGAAAAGCCTCGCCGCGGGATGCACTCTGCGATTCTTCGATCTTCCAGCGTTTCTTTCCTCGAAATTTTCACCGTAGAAACGTGGATTGATCGCTTTCGCCAAGGGAAACGTAGTCAACTGTAGCAGAATTGAAAATTGGCGGCAGAAGCTTGCCGTACTCAGCTACGGACTTTCCGAAATTATTTTGCCCGGCTATCGGCCGTCGCGAAAGTGTTAAGAACAGTTGGACGAGAGATGGAGAAACGAGCGAGAAGGAAGGCGGATATCGAGAAAGGCGTTTGCGAAATCTCGTAGCACGATCACGAGGGGATAGAACGATCGTGGTCGATCGTTGGCTAAGAGATCGAGAAAGATCGGCGGAATAATCGTTCGCGTTACTGCAACACCGTAGCCCCGCAAGCTACCACATTTCGTTTCCACTCGACACAATTAATTCCCCTAACTCTATATCTATACCGTACGTAGTTTAACCGAGGAAGCTGGAACAGTTGGGATACTTGCGCCCGTTGGCGCCAACTCTTTTTCTTTTCCACCGGAGAATATCTAAGATAGATATCTCTCTCTCCGGTGTTTTCACGCGTACCAACTTCTATTAGACGTAAACGTTTGGGGGGAAAAACTGGTCGAAACGAAGAAATTCTCGCGAATAACGCCTAATCGTTCGCCTGTGATTACGTGAAAACGTCCAAGTACGGTCGCTAGAATTCCGGGAAATTCGAATGGAACACGTCGATGAAGTGGAACGGCTACTGTAAGATTACCTTTACTCGCTGATAAATGGAATTAACGGTCTATATTTATCGTTCGATCGTTCTGTAGAAGTCTAGGCTATGTAATCCACGATTCTTAACATTTCCTGTACATTCGAATTGGAATATTGGTAAACCTGCCACATTTTATCCCTTGCTATTATGGAAACTGTGAAACTAACACTTGCTGCGATAGCAACGGTTATTACCGTGGACGTGATACTTTGATTTAAGTGTATATAGTGTATTCTTCGATTAGTGTGTAACAGTGACGCGTCCGTAAACCAGTACCGTGAAATGTTAGTGGTGTAGCCTAGAAAATTTCTTCTCGAAACGTCGAACGAATGTTAGGAAACAGTGTGAAAAAGTTCAAGTCGCAAATTTCTTCTTGGAACATCGAACGAATCCTAGGAAGAGGTTTAAAGAATCGTTTGATTCGTTAGCAGATTAAATCCAAGAAAGATCCAAAACGCAAGAGGAACAAATTCGGGACAAGTTACTTTACACACGAAAACACAAGAGAAACAAATTTTTTCTTGAAACAGCGAATAAATGCTACGAAGAAGTCTAAAAAATCATTTGATTCGTTATTAAATTAAATCCAAGAAAGACCCAAAACTCAAGAGGAATAAATTCGGAAGAAGTCTAAAGAATCGTTTGATTCATTGGTGACTTCACTCACAAAAAAACTGAAAAGGAACACAACGTTAAGAAATTGTCACCCACAGTTCTTCCTCGATCCACCCCAGACAGGCCTCTGTGGATCTCTACAGATCGATCGATTAGTTGGAAGTTTGTTCGATCCTTGTCCGGTATCGTTTGGTATCGCGTGTAGGATTCGCGATGAATCGCGCCAGGTGCTATGCTTTGATCCGATCATTCCCCGCCTTAATGATCGCCGCACCGCAGAAGCGGCTCTCCCGTCCAGCCGTTGCCAGGACCGAAGAAACGCACGGTGGAATTCGAGCGAAGCTGAAGAGGATCGGCACAGCACACCACGAAGAAGAAAAATACAAAGAGTGGTGGCACACCGATGCTTTTCGTATCTAAACCCATTCTTACGTGATGAGCCATTTAAGGAGCAGACTTTTGCTCCCTTCTATCGCCGATGCTCTCTCCTCTCTACCTACGTTCTCACGTCTGTCCTCCTTTTGGTTCAAATCCAGGCTAAAAAGGAATAGGAACAAATTCCAGCAGAACCAAAATTCGAACGATAAACGCACCTTCCTTCTACGCAATACCCAAGTGAAAGAAAGAGAGGCAGAAGTGAATGATCCGGCGCCTCAAGGGGTGGAAAAAAGAGGAGGGAACGATCTGTCGAATCACCGGGACAAACCTCGAAATCGTCGAAATTCATGAGTACCTACGCCCCTTGGGCGTTCGTGATCGCAACACAGAAACTCCACGAATTTCGAATCTCGTGGAAACAAGAAGAAACAATCCCCACGGAAAGAATTACAGTGAGAGAAAATTATAAACATAGACAGAGAGAGGAGAGGAGAGACATAGGGGGAGTGTAGAATCGAGCGACCATAAATTGTCAATTTCGAAGTCAATTTGCCCAGGCTTACCAATCGGCTGCCGGTTAATTTCAAGGTGAATTGTGTCCAATATGGGTATATTATTAATGGCTTTG